TACCTAGTCTACCTAGAAAAAAATATAAAAATGTTCATTAGAAAATGAAAATGTAAGGCAGAGCGTGGTGGCTCATGCCTGTAATCCCAGCATTTTGGAGGCTGAGGCAGGTGGATTGCCTGAGGTCAGGCGTTCAAGACCAGCCTGGCCAACTTGGTAAAACCTGTCTCTACTAAAAATACAAAAAAAATTAGACAGGCATGGTGGTGCACGCCTGTAATCCCAGCTACTCAGGAGGCTGAGGCAGGGGAACTGCTTGAACCAAGGAGCTGAGATCATGCCATTGCACTCCAGCATGGGCAACACAGCAAAACTCCATCTCAAAAAAAAAAAAAAAAAAAAAAAAAAAGGAAAATGTACTGGAGTATATATCTCATTTATTTAGCATTTGGGGCAGAATCGTGTCACTATTCCCAGAGAAATAAAACTTGGAGTGTTTCTCAGGTGCTTCTAACACTGAATGACACTAGTTTCATCTAAAATAATCTGAAGATTTAAAAAGCAAATCTATACTTTTATTTTTTTGAGACAGAGTCTCACTCTCTCGCCCAGCCCGAAGTCCAGTGGCGTGATCTTGGCTCACTGCAACCTCTGCCTCCCAGGTTCAAGTGATTCTCCTGCTTCGGCCTCCCGAGTAGCTGGGACTACAAGCATGCACCACCACTGCCCAGCTAATTTTTTTGCATTTTTAGTAGAGACGGGATTTCCCCATGTTGGCCAGGCTGGTCTTGAACTCCTGACCTCAAATGATCCACCTGCTTTGGCCTCCCAGAGCACTGGGATTACAGATGTGAGCACCAGGATTACAGATATAAGCCACCACACTCAGCCCAAGTCTATGCTTTTAAGTCTTCAACTGAATTCACACCAATCCCCTAAACCTCTTTTTCCTTCCGCTGCACCTGCAGATTAATCCAACCAAATATCTTCTCTAGCCAGCTCCACTGTTGCACAATACTACAGAATATCCTGCAATCCCTTGGGATTGCCAGACAATCTCAACATCCCTGATGACCGCCTTCTATTTCCTCAAGAGTTATTTCCAAAGTGCTTGCTCCTCAAGCCACCTACCAATCTCCATCCCTCCTAATGTCACCAATAACAGAGGTCTTTTACCTCATGATAATAACAGGCCAGGAGTGATGGTTCACACCTGTAAATCCCAGCACCTTGGAAGGCCAAGGTAGGAAGATCTGCTTGGACCTAGGAGTTCAAGAGAAGCCTAGGCAACATAGTGAGACCCTATCTCTAAAATAATAAAATAACTATTTCAACAGCAACAGCCGTTAAATGTATTAAGTGCTGTGCTTAGGCATTTTGCCTTATATACACTATCTTATCCAGTCTTTACAAGGACCATCACTTACTGAAGTAGGTACTAGTAATTATCCCTACTCTACAAATTAGAAAGCTGAAGTGTAGAAAGGTTAAAAAACTTGCCCTAGGTCACATAACCAGTGTCATGTCCAGATTACAAATCCAGGACTAACTGCAGAGCCAACTGTTAAACCTATACTGTGTTGACATCCTGTTCCACTCTTCCATCAGGGTACAGTAAAGGCAGAGCCAGGACTCCCAAAGGTTACCTGGCTCCCCCAGGCCAGCTCATAGCAGTGTCAAGACAGTGAGCTCTCCTCTTTCAGTCCAAGACTCTTCACCAATGTTAGTCAACTAGTAAGCAGCAGGAGAAGCAATATGGAGATACACCTATGAGGTTTATTAACTACATTACGCTGACCTGCTTTATTGGAAAAAGCAATGGATTTTATTAGAATAAAACAGTCTCCCTGTACCCTCTCTTTTCATTTCATCCAGGTTCCAGCAAAGTAACTTTCTGGAAGTGTTTTGATCACCTCTTGGCTATCTGTGTCTAAGGCCCACTTGCTTCCACACCTAAATAGACACTTCCATCCCTTTTTTACTGTGTCATTACCACATTGGGAACGGAGTGGTATCCTAGCCTAGTGCTTCTCAATTTTAATGTGCCTGTGAATCACCTTGGGTGTCTCACAAAAATGCAGTTGAGTTGGAGTTTCCCTTGTTACCTAGGCTGGAGTGCAATGGCGATAAAAGTAACTGTCCAACATCATGTCCAAGCATGTCCTTTTATGAAAAACATTTTAGAATCCACAAAATAAATAAATTTTAAAGTTATTCTAGCAGGAACACTAGAGATGTCACTGACTACACTCACTCGTTTACTTATTCCCTCCTGCCTACAAATCTTGACTGCCTTGCAAACCTAAATTTCCTCTATGGCTTCCTATTCAAAATTTTAAAAAAGGGAGGAAGAGATTTTTGTGCCCTGCCTGCCCTCTTCTTCCAACTGTACCATATAACCCACCTATTGCCAGCTCACAGGTGACAACCCAACGCTTGAAGACCAGCATCCCAGGTGGAGCACCAAGCCACCTCCAGCACTCCTGCCCAAGCTGCCCACCGGGGTCATCTTACGCATTTTCACAACTTACTTTCCCCAGAACTTATGCAGCGCTTCACCCCAAGGCAGGCATTTAAGTATCTGCTAAATAGTATTTCTAGTTACTTCGTAGGCAACTGCTGCCTAAAATAAAATGCTTTATTCATCATGCTTTAATTTTATTAAACATGTAAGTCCTGCTTAAACAATGGTCTAAGGCTAGCTCTGTGGTTCTTGCCCTAGATTTTGCCCTCGGAGGGACACGAGACAACGTCTGGAGGCGTTTTTGGTTATAACACTGGGATGGGGATGTGCTGGTGGCATCTCACAGGTAGAGGCCAGGAAAACTGTTCAACATTCTGCAAGGCACAGGACAGCACCCCACAATAGTGACTTATTTGATCCAAAACGTCAGTAATGCCAAGGTTGAAAAACCCCATGGTAGCCGCATTATCCTCTTTTAACCTTACAGGATTTGAGAACCAATGGAAATCACAGAGCCAAACAGCCTATGTGGCTGCAACTGTTTTATAGTTTCTTAATAGAGAAAAACTTCTCTGGTTTTTCAACATTAAGTTCCCTTGTTTTGAAAACAACCGAAAGAGCTCAATATTGCAAAAATGGCACAACCACAGCAGAGTGCAGTGTGATAACAATACAGAGTCAACTAAGATTAAAAACTGGCCTACTAAGACTTCAGATATAATATGTTTTATTCATCTGGTGGTACTTGGTGCTCACAGGGCACCGTACAACAAATTTTAAAAATACAATATGAAAAAATCAAACAGCCAGAGATCAATTCCATTAGAGGGCAATGGCCCACAGAAAAACCAACAAAGGCCCACGAAAAACCCACCCTGTGTTCTTAAGAACATTTCCTTCTTGGTTTGGCTTTAAGAAACACCAAAAGAAAATATGAAAGAAAAGGTCTTTGAGAAGATAGGTAAAACTTCACATAGCGTCTTCCACAAGTCACAAAATGCTTTCCTTATTTAACAATAAGCACATAAAATAACCCAAACATCTGTAAGCCTCTATTTGGTCCCAATTTTTTAGGTCACAGCTTCCACTACTTCCCTCCTCTCTATCCTCAAATTATTTGCATCAGTAAAAAAAAAGTTACTTAAGGTGTAGCAGTCTCCTTTGCATCACACTGCCACTACAAGCCTGTTTTCCAGAAAAAGCCAGAGGCCAAGCAAATGTAAACTAAGTACTTGAATTGAAAATATAATTAAAATTTTCCAAGAGTGACTTAACATCAAATTTTGGCTTTGTAATGTATTTGTATTTGATTCTCATTAGTCATTACTGAAGGTCATTTGACATCAACCAGAGAGAGCAGTGAGATTTAAAGTTGCATGGAAGTACTGCTAACAACAGAAAGATGAGTTTGGCTTGTTTTAATTTTACTACACAGTGACCTATGTTTCCAGAAAGTTGCCATACAAGAAACAAAGACTTACAAATCCTACTTGGAAACCGTTAATGCTCAGTATCAATTTCTTAAGTCAGTTACAAGCTGTTTCTTAACTAAGCTTCTTCTGAAGCAGGAACTCCTAAAGTGTTAACAGGCAGTTTTACTTGCAGTAGCAGTTAGATGCTAATGTTGCTTGCAGAATTTATTTTCCCTTTAGAGTTCACAGAAGTACTACCACATGGAGACAAAATAAAATAGTAAAGATAGTATAGGTAGTAAAAAGGCCAAAACTAAGAAATTTGGGGCCATAACATTAGAAAAGGTTGAAAACATACTTTACATATTTGCTAAAAAAATTAATTCTAGTACTGCCTTCATGCTTGATTCCTCTAGAATTAATGGCATTTCATTCAGTTTATGCTGATGTCTTACTACCGAATACAAAGCTAAGCAAACTTAGACATTTCATCTGCTGCTACTATGTATTATCACAGTACATAAGGAAGCTGTAACAAGATTTGTCTCCCCTTCTCCGTTATACTGTTCTTAAAGGTAGAGGGCAGGTCTCATGCACCTTTGCATCCCTTGCATCTAAGCACAGTGGCTGGCATACAGTGAGTGCTCAATAGGTATTTACTGATGCATTGCTCAGTAGTGGCTTATGACATGGGGAAAAGCCCAACATGGTCCTGTTCTATCAGCATTACTTAGGTAGCCTCACTCCCAATAGGCAGAAAGCAGTTTTGAAGTAATCTTCCTCCCTTGCTAAACACAGCAGATCTACCAAGCATTAGACAAGACTTAAACCACTTCCTTTAAACCTGTTCATAAAGCATTTTGAGAAATCAAGAGATGAAAGGCGCTATGTAAGTACAAAATATTATTCAAGACAGTTCAGCAAAAGTGCTATTTTTCTATGATGATGGAATGGTTGTGCTAGTTTGAGGGGAACACCTCCCCAAGGCTACTCTTCTTGCTGTCATTATTAACAGAACAATGGAATTTTGACAAATATGCCATCACTTTATATAGTGTTTATTCTGCTAACTACTTTCTATAAACCAGGTGACAGAAAATGAAATTAAGCCACTTATTCCACATAAACCAATACTTAATCAAAGTTCCGCATTTTACAAGTCATGTTCAAAAAACACACACAAATTAGCATTTTGTACACAAATGTTTATTTCTTAATTAAACATTCCCTTTAAACACAAGGAATGAGTTCTAAATCTTCATAAAGATGAATTAAAAATGAAATCCCTCCAGTATAGTGTATGTAATCACTGTGTTCTTGGTCACTACTGGCATTTACTGTTTAACATCAAAAACAAAGACAGGTTATTTAAAAATCATGCTACTGGATTTCTAGCTCTTCCTCTATGACCAGCTCTATACTGATCTGCAATGTTTAAAAGTTTACATCACCAAATCGAAGCAAGTTTAAGGTGTGAAATAGCTGTGCATTAAACACAAAATAAACAATAAAATTATAAGATATAATCAAGTTCATAACGAATATAGGTGTTCTTATCATCGTTGTAGATTCTTGGGTAATGTGCTATGAGAGCGTCTTGGGAACCAATGTAGATGGAGTTGTAAATTTTCCAATATACATCTCTGACTTTCCGGGCTGGGTGAAACAGACCCTAGAATAATTGAACGGTTACATCATTTTAATTTTCAAGAACATACATAACCTTAACAAAATTAACAAACAAATTATATAGGTATGATTCAAAATTATTTCCCTTGGGGAGTGAGGGGGAACCTAGTAATTACACAAAACTATAACGGAAGGGACAAAACTAACTCCTCCCTCACCACACAACTGTTTTCCCATATGGCACAATATAGCCTTATTGATAATCAGGAAAAGTAACTTAATTCAACACACTACTTTTTCTTGCTAAGTAATCTTTAAAAACCTTTTAACTTACATGGGGTGGAGGAAAAGGAGAGGGAGAGCATTAGGACAAATACCTAATGCATGTGGTGCTTAAAACCTAGACGATGGGTTGATAGGTGCAGCAAATCACCATGGCACATGTATACCTATATAACAAATCTGCACATTCAGGACATGTATCTCACAACTTAAAATTAAAGAAAAAAAAAAAAATCACCAATTAAAAAAAAAAAAAATCTTTACCTTACCTGTAAACAATATTGCAACATTCTACATGGTCCAATAGCAACTCTCAGGCCCTCCAGGGCTCCCATAACTGCCTGAATTACATGAGGAGATGTCTCAAACACATTTGGCCATACATAGTTCAACAAGTGATTCAGTGAATCTTCACAACCAAATCCATAAACCCCAAGTGACATGTGCTGTACCACCGCACTAGCTGTCTGTCTGTGTACAAGGTCTCTACAAAGGAAGGGAAAAAAATCCTTTAAGATATGGTCTTAGTTTTACAGGAAATATTCACCGCCCATTAAAAACTAATTCAGTGCACTGAACAGATGTGAAGTCATCCTAACATTTCATGTATCTAATATGTCCTTTAGAATGACTAAAGTTTCCACTTGAGGACTTTTGCTTTAATGACTCAAGCTTCACTATGGCTCAACGACTAAGCCATATTTTCTAATTAACTTTTAAAATGAGTATGAGCAGAAGGGCTCTGTGATGTCTTGGCTTTGTTATGCTAATAAAGAGAAGACATGTGATTCTAACTATGAATAATCAACAGTAATATCTTATTTTACACTTTTTTTTTTTTCCAGGCCGGGTATGATGGCTCATACCTATAATCCTAGCACTTTGGGAGGCCAAGGCGGGTGGATTGCCTGAGGTCAGGAGTTCGAGACCAGCCTGGCCAATGTGGCGAAACCCCGTCTCTACTAAACATACAAAAATTAGCCAGTAGTGCTGGGCACCTGTAATCCCAGCTACTCAAGAGGCTGAGACAGAAGTATCACTTGAACCCTGGGGGCAGAGGTTGCAGTGAGCCGAGATCACACCCTTGCACTCCAGCCTGGGCAACAAGAGTGAAAATGTTTCCCAAAAAAAAAAAAAAAATTTTCTTTTTTATTTTTAGAGATAGGGCCTCACTATGTTGCCCAGGCTGGTTGTGAACTCCTGGGATCAAGCAATCCTCCTACCTCAGCCTCCCAAATCATTTTAAACTCTTGATTATAAACTTAAATCTTTACTAGTACTTCAGATACTGGTATATAATAGGTAACTAAATTAAAATTAAATTCCCTTTTCACCTAAAGTTTATGTTTCATTCAGTAACTCAATTTGAGCAAAGGAAGAAAGATCAGTAATTTTTTCAACCCTACAGAAATAACCATCATCTCCTACATTAACTGAATTTATGTTTATGAAAAATCAATGAGTGATTCATTCCACAATTATTCAACCAAGTATGAACTCATTGGCTAATACACTGAGATTTGCAACAGGTATGAAAATGAGTCTCCGCATTTTGTCCCAAAGACAGTAAGACAGACCATATCAAAGATAAAAGAGAAGGCCGGGCGCAGTGGCTCAAGTCTGTAATCCCAGCACTTTGGGAAGCTGAGGCGGGTGGATCACGAGGTCAAGAGATCGAGACCATCCTTGCCAATGGTGAAACCCCGTCTCTACTAAAAATACAAAAAATTAGCTGGGCATGGTGGCACGTGCCTGTAATCCCAGCTACCCAGGAGGCTGAGGCAGGAGAATTGCCTGAACCCAGAAGGCGGAGGTTGCGGTGAGCCAAGATCGTGCCATTGCACTCCAGCCTGGGTAACGAGAGCAAAACTCCGTCTCCAAAAAAAAAAAAAAAGATATAAGAGAAAAAGGCTTGTATTTACTAATATCCTTGTTTTTCTTGTTTATTTTAATAAAGTGATTCAGCATAAGAATGAAGCAGTATTCCTCATTAATAAAATTTCCAACTGAAGTATTCTTTCCATTTAGTAATTTTCAATGGAATTACTCCCCCAACTTCTTAGTATACAGAACAAAATTTTTAACTGTAAAAGTTAAAATTTTTAATTTAGTACACAGAACAAAATTTTTAACCATAGTGCTCAGGCACTTCTCACTGAGGAATATGGAGAAAGGGCGATTTACTCTCATTTTTTTCTGCCCTGGGCAGCAAGGCTTTTACAGAGCACAATTCTTACTTTGTCTCCATGTCTTGTATATACACATTCTGGTAACTTTTTGATGACTCCAGTTAAGTCTCCCTTTCAGGTTATTAATGAGTAACTTTAATCTGTACACAAAAGTATCTGAATGGGCTCTGATTTGAGTAACTTATCTCTCCTGAAAAATAAAGAGCCAGTGAAACAGTTCTTTCCCTTACTATGCCTGCACTTTCCTTTGCACTTTCTTCAGTTACTTCTGTGTTTACGGCTATATGTCAGTCTAGATGGTAAAAGGTATTAGGAATCTGTCAAATAACTCAAACAGTACTGTACTGGAGGTCACCATCTGAAACACTAGGGACCTGCAATGGGAATAGTGCAGCTCTGGCAGACTATGTTCAGTAATTCAAAAGCTTAAGAGAAATCTGTGCTTTACCTACAATAAAAAGCTAAAAAAGATCAGGTGACTGCCACACTGATTAGCTCCTGCTCATCATGTCCTCTAACTATATTTGACCGATTATGAAAACAAAAGATTATCAACCCTTTTCAAAATGTAATTAGTTCAATAGATATGAAAAGAGATTTAAAGGGAAGTGGGGAACTTGAAAGAAACTTTGGAGAATCACTACAACATGCACATTATTTTAAATAATAAGCCATATTTACAATGTCCTAAGACTCCAGGCTAGCATTTTTTTCTTTATCTACATTACGATGAAAAGTCATCTAATAAGTATTTCAGGATGTTCTAAAATGAAGGAAGAGTTATAATTATTTTCCTGTATTTAGTTCAAGTCACTTACCTATCCATTAAAGCATCTTCAAGTAATGGTGTTACAGCATAAATGTAGTCCTTTCCCATTTCACCAATATATTCAAACAAGAAGGAAAGTGATTTTAACACTCCATTTTGAACATTCAGTTCAGGAACTCTGTATTCATTCATTAAGGCAGGGAGTACTGTAAAGGGTGAACACGTTTCTGCAACAATAGCTATTGCTACAGTGGTACAAACTCTGTTCTGCCTTTCTTGAACTTTGAGGTTGTTTAGAAGTGTAGCCAATACATCATGAGGGCTGAAAAAAAAAAAATGGGTCAACAATAATAAGTCGAACTTTGATTTCCATAAATAAGTCAAAAATGTATGAGAAAAAAACACATGAGGATGAAAACTTCTAAATATTAATGACAGGGAGCTCAGTAATTTTATGATAAAAAATGCAGTATTTTCGAGTCACTGGCATTGTTGTTTCTATATAAAAATTTCATATAAAGTAAAAGATCAATTTTAAAAAGTTAACTCTGAGAAGATCAGAGGCCATGGCTGTACGGATTCTAAAAATTTAAGTTAAAGTAATTCTCAATGTTCAGTCTTTAAACTTTCTGATACATAAATAAATGTAAGTAAATGTTTAAAGTGAGCAATTCTCTGAGTTGTCACAATGGGCACTAGAACTAGGCAGGAGTATCCAAATTGTGGTCTCCCACTATAAACCATATAAAATCTTTTTTCCTTTTACCTTCCCTCCCACACAATTGGCTGCATCTATTCACCTCTTCTTTGACATAAGCTTAGTGGGACACTGGGGCTAAAAGCTTGCACAACAGCTACTGGCTGCAAATTTCTTGACTCCATCACCACTGAAATAAATATTATGCTACTAAAATAGGAGAGGAATGAGTGTTAACAGAAGGAGTATGGTCTGGTTAATTCCTTAGGTAATTATCTAAGGAATCAGACTTTCGCATGTCATATTCCTTAACATTTTCTTACTTAAGCCACGTAAACATGTAGTGTCTTGTTTTCTATAATGACTGTTTTTTACCACTTTAGTTGTAATGGAGTGGAAGCAAACAACCACAGATTATCTCACTAAGCAGCTATAATTCAGTTAAATCTGTGGATTAATGTTAGAATAGCATTTTTGTTGTTTTTTTAGAGACAGGGTCTCACCCTGTTGCCCAGGCTGGGGTACAGTGGCACAATCACAGCTCACCGTAACCTTAAACTCCTAAGCTCAAGCAATCCATAAAATTTTTAAAACACATAAAGGATTAATATGAGACTTAAATGATGCTGTGAGATTAAAAACTTGCCTTTACAGTTTAAGCAATATCCAAAAAAACAGTACACATTTTAAATTTTTCTGAAAATGGTACTGCTTCTCTCCCTGAAAATACCTAACATATAATTAAAGTAAATCTGAAACCCTTCCATCTACTTGAATTCAATTAAAAATTTAAGACTACAGGCTGGGCGCAATGGCTCACGCCTGTAGTCTCAGCACTTTGGGAGGTCAAAGCAGGTGGATCATTTGAGGTCAGGAGTTCAAGAGCAGCCTCACCCACATAGTAAAACCTCATCTCTACTAAAAAATACAAAAATTAGCTAGGTGTGGTGATGCAACACCTGTAGTCCCAGCCAGCTACTGGGGAGGCTGAGGCAGGAGAATCACCTGAACCCAGGAGGTGGAGGTTGCAGATCACATCACTGCATTCCAGCAGTGGGTAACACAGCAAGACTTTGTCTCAAAAAAAAAAAAAAAAAAAAAAAAAGAATTGAATTTAAGAATGCATTCCAATAATAAGGTCAGTGGTTAAATGAAGTGCTTTTGCAACTGCATTACTCAGACTATGCCTCAAAAGAGATTTCAACACCACAACGGATGTATTATAAAGTAATTTTTTTTTAATGGAAGTAAGTAACACTCACCCAATGGCCTTTGCAATATAACCAAATGTGTTGACTGTGGCTCTACGAATAGCTTTTTTGTGGGCTTTTAAAAGCTCTAAAAGCTCAAAGCAAATCCTCATCCATTCTCTTGCAGATACATATTCAGCTCCCCTAATTTAAAAAAATACACATATTAATTTTTGTGACATTAAGTTTTAAGGGTAAATTTGTGAATTCAGTTCTAAAAATATGATTGCTAACTCATTTTAAGCATTAAATAAAACTTATTACTCTTCAGAAAGGCAAGAGTTAGTCTTAAAAGTTTAGTCCTAAAATTATATTGCACCCCATTACCATCCAAAATGAAATTTGACTGAAAATATTAATACTGGATAGCCTAATCATATACACTTATATTAGTGACATTAAGGAAATTTTGCCAATTGAATAAAAAGTGGCCAAATTTGAAAATTGATATTACTTATAAAAATGTTTGGGTAACCTGCTTACCTGTCAGCAATACGCCCAACAAGATCAATACAATTCTCTTGTACTTTTTCATGTCTGTTCTTTAAGATGGGGGTGAGTCTAGGCAGCAGATCTTTAATTGGTGGAGTCATCTTATGCATACCTATTTAATAGAAGTCAATACACTATCAACATTTAAATTGTAACTTTTGTTCACTTTCCTTTTACTTAACAATGTCATATATGACTATGCATAAATATAAACTTACAGCTGCCTATGGAAAGAGAAAGCCCCAGATTCTGACCAGATTCAGAATCGTTTTTAACTTTTATTAACAACTTTTGATTATGCATAGAAATGAAAGAAATCAGTGAAGTGATTTAAAGAATGATGGAGACTCAATAACAAAAAAGTTTTGTTTGGTTCTGAAATGTATTTGTGTACTGACATTTAAATATGGGGACAGCTTATGTTCCGGCCATACACAACAATATAAGCCAGAGGTAAACATGTAAATAAAGCAAAAATTTCCAGAAAGGGCCCCCTTACCCTTTAACTGCAAAACAAACAGATCTCCAGTCTCCCTGCAATGCAGGGCATACTTGGATGGTATTTACACCTATGAAGAGAGAAAAAAGGAGGCAGCTGGCAGGGGCTCTTTCTCTAACTAGAATCGCTTGTTCTGATTCTCTCTCCATTGCTCTTCCCATGCCTCTCTCTGACAAATAATATGGTTTGAAACTCCCTGCAAACCAGAGGTCTACAAGTGGCCATGTAAATGACTTTTGGCAAATAACTATCTTCAAGTATAGAGGACTGGGCTGCACTGGAGATTATATGCAAATAGAAGAGTTTAAAGATATATATTGCATAAAACTTCTTACATCTAATGAGAAAAAAACAAACAGTGGCTCTCTTACAGTCAGCTATTTTGACTTCTGCTAGGTTATCAGACCCTCTAAACTCTGCAGGAGTTACATTTGTCAACAGTTATAATCAATTTTTAAAAAAAGATTAAATACAAGAACTCATTTCTTCTCTTTGTCATATTGACCTAACAGAATAAAAACTTTGCTCTCCATATCCAAGACCATTTGTAATATAGCTGGGTTTTGGGTTAGAAAATTCAACGGACAGTTTTTAAAACTTGGGTATGTAAATAAAGTTAAGAAAATAATTTGATCAATTCACTTTTCTCTCGATTATATTCCTTGAAACTGATGGTAAGTAAAAAAACTGTCATAATCACTTACTAATTCAAGATTTAAACACACACACACACACACACACACACACACACACATACATACATATATATAAAATTTTAAAACTAAATTAAAACTTCAGGGTTGCCTTTTTGCCCTGCAGAATATATTTCAGCTGGCACACCATTTTTACTAGGGTCCTATATTCCATGACCTCAAAGCTTTTGGAGTTGTGACTACTCCCACCTCTCCTGTAGGTCCTAAACTTGCCCTTTTTATCTCTTTGAAGTAACACATAAACCGGTTTTGGGAAACAAGGCTTTTGTGGCATCCCCTGACTTAACTACAATCTTGAAGTGCTTTTAAAAAAGTAACAAAAACCTCCCAACTCCTAAATAAGATTCTGTATTTTGCTTACAATAAGAAAAAAGAAAGTTAAACAAAACAAGAAAAAGTCTTATATAAATTCCATACCTATGACATTTACAATGGCCTTCAGTGCTCCAAGAATGCTGCCCAATACTTCAGGGTACTCTTCACCCAAATACTCATACAATACAACACCCAAGTGTCCCATCAATTTTTCCTATAATAAAACAAATAATGTTAAAATGTTTACCATTTACATTAAACTATTTGGTGAAGACGTAAAATTTTGATACAAAACTTTACCTCTTGACAAGTCTTCATAACAACAGCAGTTCGAGAAATCAAGTCAGCTGCCTGTTGCCTAACTTTTGCAGATTTGTTATTTAAACGCCACAAAACTGTACCACAGATCTGAGGCAAGTATGGTTTGACTCGTTTGCCAAGGGCATTCACCACTGTGCCAAAGCCATTCAACATTACTGAGTCCTGAAATACATAAATAAATAAAAAGCCACATTCATTTGGTTTCTTTATGACTGCACAGTTGAAATATACTAATAGTCAACCTTTTTTAACCACCAAAACATCTTGTTTTTTTACATCAAGTCTTAAAACTTGAGATTGATTATTTTTTTTGGTAACCGAGAACAGGAGCATTTTAAAAATTACTTCAAATTCAATTGCATTTTAGAAAAATTTGCTTGACAAGTAATATACTTTTTCTACAAATATGAAAATCAGTGGCAATGTGCCATAATAATTAGTTATCATTACCTCTGTAGTTTGTTCTTGGAAAGCATAAAGAATACCATCAATCAGTTGTTCTTCAAGTTTATGATCAATATCTGCTGCTCCCAAATTGCCCATAATTTTCTCAATTGTCTCCATCACCATTTTTCTGTACTGTTCAGCTTCATCCTTCAGATCATCCACAATCCTGGATATAATTTCTGCTGCACCTACTTTGTTTGCCAGCTCCACAGTAGTATCAACTAACTAAAAAGAACAGAAAAAACAAAAACAACAACAAAAACGCCTCTTTTAAATTGCTTTTCCACAGAAATAAAACAACATCATAAAAACCAAACACTCTAAATGTACTAGTTTTAGCTAGTAAACATACCATGAATGATTCATTGCTATTTATTAAAGTTGAAAAGTGACCAAAAAATTTATGAATGAGTATAAGTTAACGTGATTCAAGGTAAAACTGTATCCATGTTTCACCTAGCCAGATAAAGCACTGAATTTACCAGACAAAAACAATTCAAAGTTGAGTACTGATCCTTGAATGCCAAGTCAAAATGGAAGTTAACTGGCTGACTAAAATCCACCTCCTTTCATAATCAAGCACATATGAACTGTGAGATAATCGAAGCAAAAAAATAATATGCAACACGGATTCAACTGACTAAAGAATGAGTAGAAGGGATTTTTGAGAATATTCTTTTACAATAAAAGCTTACCTGTCGGTAATTTCTTCTATCTAAAGCCATCCTGTGCTGCCAGAAGTGTTTAAAAAATGGAGGAAGAATCTCTGTTTTAATATAGTTTGCTTCTACACCATCTGTCCCACAACACTGTTTTACTACCTAAAAGGTTAAAAAAACAGTAATAATAAATCAACTGACCTGAAATGAAGAGAATACTCATTGCTGATTACTTGATTTTAAAAAATAAAATTTAAAACAAACAGTACTGGTGTAACATAGTTTTTTGTTGTTTTTTAAAAAACACTTTAAAATTATCTTAGAACCATTAAACAAACCCAGTTTACGTTAACAAATTTGGAATAATTACCTTCAGAACAATTTTCTTCATTTCCTCATCAGGAGACTGGAATTCTCGAATAAGAATTAACATCACTTCTCTAGTATAGTAGTTCGCATATTCTGCATCCATGAGAGGAATAAGATACCCGATAGCCTTTAAGAAAGCAGCTAAACCCTGTTTTTAAATAAAAAATAAATGTAGTTTAGTAATTTAGATTTATGTCACCTTAACGAAGAGAAATCAAAAAGTAATTGGTGGATTTACCTTTCCTCTGTGTTGGCGGATACCCTTCCATAAAGGCTTTAAGACAGAATCAAAAGATTCGATACCATAAGGAGTTGCTGCTTCAGCCAAGGCAGCAATGGCCAAAGCACTGATGGTCCGAACCTTCTGCTGCTCATCCACAAGACCTACAAAACCAAACACAGGTTTTAACTACCCACCAACATTACCTAAGTTACACAGTATCATCCAGATTCTTGCAATATATCACAACTATTTAGCCAAACTGCAGAATCTGCTCACATTAGACAAAATTAGGTAAAAGCAAATATGAACTGTTAGCAGATAATACTACAAACCCATCATAAAATATATAGTTTGTACAGTTAGGCCCTTCCATTCATCTCCCCAAATCAGTAGCCCAAATTTTAGGACAGCTGTCCTATTAAATGTAGACAGGCTTTTGTGTGTACCTCTAGTACCAGCTACTCAGGAGGCTGAGGCAGGAGGATCACTTGAGCCCAGAAGTTTGAGTCCAATCTGGGCAATACAGTAAGACCTTGCCTCTTAAAGAGAAAAAAAAGACAAAGTTACATTACAACTTACCATGTTCAATGATTTCAACTAAACTTCTAAGATGTGGCAAGATGGCACAGCCCATAAGAATAGCTATCTGTTGTACAATCTTAATACCAGTGTGTCTCGCTTGCCAGGACTTCTTGCTTTTGCACACAGCTTTTAAGAAGGGCAATAAAGAAGGAATGCCCAGGGCAGAGGCCACAACAGCAAAAGCTCGAGCTGTTGTGTTACGGACATACTCATCCATGTTATCTATATCAGGTCTCATGGTAGAGATCATAGTAGCCAGACCAGCAGCCTAAAAAGTAAAGAAAAAAAAGAATAGTCATGAGTTGCCAATATTAATGTTCAACCATTTCCTTCTATAATCAAATAATTCCATAAACAGATAAAAATTTTCTTCTCTAGAAATTTAATGTAAATACCTTTGCCAAATTAGAAATGATCTCTCGGCCTTCCACTCTAGCGTAGTAATCTTCATCAATCAATAGCGGTTCAATGACCACGAGGATCTGAAAAAGAGAAAAAAAGAGAAGAAGCTACACCTTGACATCAATTACTGATGAAATACTCATGTACCGAATTAAACATATACAGGAAATTTACAATTATCAGGACTTTTGTTCATCAAGGGGCAGACTAAGAATTTTAATTATACAAGTTCAAACTATTAGTGAGACACTAACAAATACTCAGTTTAAGTAACTTATGGCCAGGCACGGTAGCTAATGCCTGTAATCCCACGACTTTGGGTGGGTGGATCGCCTGAGGTCAGGAGTTCGAGATCAGCCTGGCCAACATGGTGAAACCGTATCTCTACTAAAAATTAAAAAATTATCCAGGCATGGTGGCGAGCGCTTGTAATCCCAGCTACTTGGGAGGGAGAATCACTTGAACCCGGGAGGTGGAGGTTGCAGTGAACCAAGATTGCACCACTGCACTCTAGCCTGGGTGACACAGCAAGACTTCATCTCAAAAAAATAATTTATACACCCTATGAACATACTGTACCATAATTACCATCAGTGAAAACACTGGTTCTTAACACTAAATGGCATAGTACAGAATCACATATGTTCTTATCCTAATCTAATCTCAATAAAAGCAAATGAAAAAATAATATAAACCTCTTATGGCAAAGATTACAAAAACTTACATGTGTACATCTGTATATACATGTATTCTGTATATAACTGTATTTGTACATGTATGACATGTACTTGTGCAAAGAAAAAGGTCTAGGAGGATATGTAAATTTAACATTAACTGAAAAAGTTAAAATATTAAACCATCAGAAACACTATTAACGAGAACAAACCTTATGCACATACGGACGAACCAAGTCATCAAGTTTGTACAGTATCCTGTCAATAACTTTCACAAGTAAATGACGCTCTTGATCTTCAAGTGTAGGAGACATCAGTAGAGGAAGAATCTGATTAAACAAAGGACCAGCTCCAAATTCACGAGCTTTATCAGTAATCTGACGTAACGCAGCCTGGGAAAAAAAGCAGAGTAAAAGTTGTGGATTCTTCATAATCAAGCATTTTGAATGAGCAAATTACTCAAAGATTTTCCATAATTTAGTATTTTAGTGTATACTTTTACACGCATTTTACATAGACAGCATGAGTTCATTTCCAACCAAATTACTCCGGAATTTGAACTCCTGTGATAGAAATTTTATGTTAATTCATAAGGTAATTTAATAGAACAAAAGGACCACAGAGGTATGTACTAAATGCTTTCATTTCCCCTAAAGTATCTTCCATTTCCAAGGCACATATAGTGTTAATATAATTCCTTACATAATGTTAATTATCTTCAAGCTTTAAGCATATTTTAAGGCCTTGAGGGCAAAAGGAGAGTCTTATTTTTCAGCATCTTTATTAGCACAAAATTCTTTGGTTAAAAAAGCTAACTCCAGCAGGGCACAGTGGCTCATGCCTGTAATCCAGCACTTTGGGAGACTGAGGTAGGAGGATCGCTTGAGCCCAGGAGTACAACCAGCCTGGGCAATAAAGTGAGATGCCATCTCCATTTAAATAATAAAAACAAATGGGCCAGGCACAGTGGCTCATACCTGTAATCCCAGCACTTTGGGAGGCCAAGGCAGGTGAACCACTTGAGGCCAGAAGTTCAAGACCAGCCTGGCCAACACGGTGAAACCCCATCTCTACTAAAAATACAGAAATTAGCAAGGCATTGTGGTGCACATCTGTAGTCCCAGCTACTTGGGATGCTGAGGCAGGAGAACTGCTTGAACCCAAGAGGTGGAGGTTGTAGTGAGCCAAGATTGCACCACCACACTCCAGCCTGGGCAACAGAGCAAGACCCTGTCTCAAAAGTATATACATAATAATAATAAAAACAAGCAAAAAGTTAAATCCTTCACACTACATACAGTTCTTTCCCTTACATTATGTCCTTGATAAAGATGAAACAAGAGTAATTATAAATTCCTAAACATAAAAATATAACACTACCAAAAGTTAATTTCTTTGCGGGGAAGGCTTCCTAAATAACCTTTACCAATTTGGGCTATTTGGGAGAGTAAGGAAAGACCATACTCCACAGTGGGCTATACCAATAGTTCACACTATTTTGTGGACTACATTTCCTGGTGAAAAAATTTAAAAATTAAAAACATATTAAAAAATTTAAACATGGCTAGGTTCAGTGGCTTATACCTGTAATCCCAGCACTCTGGGAGGTAGGGCAAGGCAGGAGTATCACTTGAAACCAGCCTGGGCAATCTGGCAAAACCCTGTCTCTATAAAAACTACAAAAATGTGTTTTTAATTAAATAAGCAACAAACATGACAACAAACTGAGACTTACCTTTCTCATTGGTGGTGTTCCATTCTTAATTTTTAAAAGTAACTTCATTATTTTTCTCTCTTTTTGCTCTTCTGGACTAAGTGTAGATTCATCAACATCAACCTATAGTAAAAAGAAAAAAAAAGTTAAGGCAAATTGAAATGTTATGATTTATAATTCTGGAACACAATGTAATAGTTTATATCTGCTAGTAATACTTACCAGTAGTTTATCAAAGTACTGAATATCATCAGGTTTTAAAAATGGAAGATTTCCAGATGGCTGGTCATTAACACTTTTCATAGTTCGATCTTCAGTTTGCATGTGGAAACCAGTCATACCACCCAAAGGTGTCGGAGTAGCTGTCAGCTTTCGAGCTGGAGTTCGAATAGGAACATAACCAGCTGGAGGAGGAAGTACCTAATAAAAGTCATTAACACATTTTAGAATTATCTTAACTTTAAAAACAGCATAATGAAAAACATTTGCACTTAAAATATTTTAGTTTATTAGTTAGAAGGTTTTTATTTGCTTGGAGACAACACCTATCTTTTCTATCTTAATTAGAAACTTAAAATACATGTTTCTCATCTACTGATTATATCAGCTGTGTAGGGAGAACTGAGGAAATACAAGAGAAGAGCTTAGAAAATACTAATCACAGCCGGGCGCGGCGGCTCAAGCCTGTAATCCCAGCACTTTGGGAGGCTGAGGCGGGTGGATCACGAGGTCGAGAGATCGAGACCATCCCGGTCAATATGGTGAAACCCCGTCTCTACTAAAGATACAAAAAATTAGCTGGGCATGGTGGCACGTGCCTGTAATCCCAGCTACTCAGGAGGCTGAGGCAGGAGAACTGCCTGAGCCCAGGAGGCGGAGGTTGCGGTGAGCCGAGATCGCGCCATTGCACTCCAGCCTGGGTAACAAGAGCGAAACTCCGTCTCAAAAAAAAAAAAAAAAAAAAAAAAAAAAAAAAAAAAAAAAAAAAAAAAAAAAAAAAAAAAGAAAATACTAATCACATTCAAACATGTTGTGGGTCAAAATGTTAAATTATTAAAAATTTGAAAATAAAATCTGAGTCAGCAATTCCAAAAAAATGCTATAGTAAAGCAAATAACGTTTCATAAGTATTTATATAAATGGAAATAAGCTCACATGGTGTACACAACATATAAAGAGCTATATTTTAGTATGAAAGTATCACATAAATTCCTGCACTCTAAAAACAAATCTTTTAAGTGTAAAACTCTACAAAACTAAGTTAAATGCATGAAAACAAAAACCAAAATGTTTACCAAAGCCCTGTAAAATAGACCACCTGATTAACCCTTTTGACAAACCAGTAAAATTTCAAAAAATGTTGGCTAAAAATCACAAATAATTTTTTTTTTAAACCTGGTAACAGACTTAAAAAAAAAAAATACAACTTCTGGCCAGGCCAGGTGTGGTGGCTCATGCCTGTAATCCCAGCACTTTAGGAGGCTGAGACGGGAGGAAAACTTGAGCCCAGGAGTTTGAGACCAGCCTGGAAGACAAGGCGAGACCCCATCTCTATTTTATATAATTTAATATATGTTCAAAGAAAAAAAATACAACTTCCTAGGGAGGTCAATAAACCTTTACACGTCTTCTCCAGTGTGCCTAAAACTGTTGTGTCAATTCAAGATTAAATTATGTTAAATTTATATTGATACCATCTGTACTTTGTACAGATATTTTTTGTTGCTAGTTAATGCCTGCACCAGCACAGACCACTAAGCATTCTGAATAAAGTGGATACTCTATAGATGTGAAGCCTAGGAAAATCAGTTTCAAGTCCACAGAAATCACTCGTCATTAAGGATTTAAAGGTCTCCTATATTTTCATATTCATTAGTAAGGATGTTGCTTTTTAGGAGGATTCACTAAGGGAGACTTTTCCTCCTAGTGACACTAAGGAAATCAATGACTGACTGCTCAGGCAGTCAACAGTAGGTTATATCTATACTCACAGCATTATGTGGAATCTACAAAAAGCTTTAAAGCAAAAATTCATGCAATCTTGAAACACATACTTAACAAAAATAACAGGAGATAAAAAAACAAAACAAGTCTGGGGACAGTGGCTCATGCCTATAATCCCAACACTTCGGGAGGCCAAAATGACAGGACAGTTTGAGCCTAGGAGTTTGAGACCAACCTGGCAACACACTGAGACTTCATCGCTACAAAAAAAAATAAAAAATTAGCCAGGTATGGTGATGTATGCCTGTAGCTGCAGCTACTCAGGAGGCTGAGGCAGGAGGATCGCTTGAGCCCAGGAGTTCGATGCTACAATGAGCTATGTCAATGCCACTGCTCTCCAGTCTGGGCAACAGAGTGAGACCCTGTCTCTAAAACAAAACAAAACAAACTCCCCTCCCCGCCAAAAAAACCCCACAAACTGTTAAAGAGTCATTAACAGAAAAAACTCTGTAAAGGCCATCAGATGATTTACAAAGTCATCTGGTTTCCCCTGGTTATAATCTCAGCTATATGACCACAGACTACCTTTAGACTAACAAATACTCCCTAAGTGTCAGCTACCTAGAAAATTTTATAGTTCAAAATAAATTTCGAGTTGATATGGTAAAAAGAAGGCTGGGCACGGTGGCTCATGCCTGTAATCCCAGCACTTTGGGAGGCTGAGAGGGGCAGATAGGCTGAGGTAAGGAGTTCAAGACCAGCCTGGCTAACATGGCAAAACCCCATCTCTACTAAAAATATAAAATCAGCTAGGCATGATGGCACACGCCTATAATCCCAGCTACTCAGGAGGCTGAAGCAAGAGAATCACTTGAACCCAGGTGGCGGAGGGTGCAGTGAACAGAGACTGTGCCACTGCACTCCAACCTGGGCAACAGAGTGAGACTCCATCTCAAAAAAAATAAAAAGAAGAATATTCTTTGTGTCCACTGATAATCCATAAACTTAAGAAAACAAAATCTTGGTGAAACACCAAGTAAAAAACCACAATCTAAATGAGCTTATTCCTGGGACTGATGGAAAACTGAAGCAGCAGTTCTCAAAGTCTAACCAATAGTCCTTGAGATTTCTTTCAAAAAGTAATTTCTTGTTGTTCATTTCTTTTCATCTCTTTTTGGAAATGAAATATACTTGGAAATAGCTAAGAGAATGGAATGACAATACTAAATTTGGGAAAAGCCAATGCAACCTTGATCAATTTTTTTTACTATTTAAAATAAATGCATACCCTAAATACCACCTCATTTATATTTGATGTACTACCTTATATCCTTCTGGGAACATAGCATCTAATTCTTCATCAGAAAGTGGTCGATTTCTCTCATCAATTTCTCTTTCCCACCGCCAAGCCTGAAGCTGTTCAGGAGTCATACTCATTATGTGACCTACCAAGAAAAGCAATCTTTTATACAATCTATACTGCAAGACTGTATTATTACATATATCTTTGAGATAAAAGAGCGTTAAGACCAACCATAACATTTAGTTGCTTTTATATTATAAATGCAAACCAAGACTTATTTTTTTATCTCCTTATTCTGGCTGGTAGTTGACATTAATAGCACACAGAATACTATAAAGAAAAAATTAAATAATTTGTAGGAAAAAAAAAAAACAATTATAGTCAACGAGACAGTTTTTACCTGGAGTAGGGGTAGCCATGTTCATGGCTGGTGTGCCAATTGGTGTTTTTCCAGGGGTCAGAACTGGAGTGCTTCCACCCATCTGACTAGCTGGTGTTTCATCCCACCGTGATTTTCTTTTACTGGCTCCAGGAGTCGGTGTTTCACCAATAGAATCTCCACCTCGATCTGTTCGAGGAGTCTCAGCCCATCCACTTCCATGCCCAGGAGTGTCTTTAAAAAGAAGGAGTGAGTAAGACTACAATTTTAATCACTGTTAAAATAATATTTTTTATTCTCAATTATAATCAAAACTATTATGTTCTAAAATAGAATATTCTTTATTTAAAGTTCTAGTGTTCCATTTCATATTTATATATACCTTTTCACACTCTTGTGTGTATGCATGTTTCTTTTCCATGGGTTACAAAAACAGACAGTAACTACTAGGAAACAGGAAAAGAGAGCGAAGTCATTTTTTAACTATCCTTAACATTATTACACAGAGATATCTGCTATGTGTATCTCAAGCTACTTCCTTCATTTCTCCATACAGTTCAGGTGACACTGCATGTACAATTCTATACTGCGTATTTCCTTCATTACACATTAAGCACTATCCCATTACCATTAAAAGTTCACAAAATTTTAATATAGCAGATGTACAGTTAAAACTTAATTTGTCTCAACTGTTCTTACAGTTAAAACTTAATTTGTCTCAACTGTTCTTATAAACAGTTAAGGAAATATAGCTTTTGACCACCTACCCAAAAACTAAGAGGTTTAGGTAAATTCAGAGAGACAGAGCATAGAATAGAGGTCAGCAGGGGCTGGGAAGAAAAGGGAATGGGAAGGCTCTGTTTAATGGATACAGGTTTACTGTTTGGGATGATGAAAAAAATCCTAGAAATGAACAGTAGTGATAGTGCAAAATGCTGTCAATGTACTTAATGCCATAGAACCACATGCTTAAAAATGGTTGGCTGGGAATGGTGGCTCACGCCTATAATCTCAGCACTTTGGGAGGACGAGGCAGGTGGATCACCTGAGGTTGGGAGTTCGGGACCAGCCTGACAAACATGGAGAAACCCTGTCTCTACTAAAAATACAAAATTAGTCAGGCATGGTGACACATCCTGTTAACTCAGCTACTCGGGAGGTTGAGGCAGGAGAATCATTTAAACCTGCGAGGTGGAGGTTGCAGTGAGCCAAGATGGCGCCACTGCACTCCAGCTGGGCAACAAGAGAGAAACTCCATCGCAAAAACAAAACAAAACAAAAAAATGGTATTATGTAAGTATTAACTGAAAATAAGTAAATAAATGGTTAAAAATAGTACATTTGGCCAGGCCCAATGGCTCATGCCTGTAATCTCAACACTTTGGGAGGCTGAGGCGGGCCAATCATGAGGTCAGGAGTTTGATATCAGCCTGACCAACATGGTGTAACTCCATCTCTAATAAAATTACAAAAATTATCCAGGTGTGGTGGTGCGTGCCTGTAATCCCAGCTACTCAGGAGGCTGAGGCAGGAGAATCACTTGAACGCAGGAGGCAGAGGTTGCAGTGAGCTGAGATCACGCCACCACATTCCAGCCTGGGCAACAGAGGGAGACTCCATCACAAAAAAAAAAGTAAATTTGATGTTAGGTATATTTTTCCATTTTTCCATAATAAAAAACAAAGAGTAGGCCAGGTACAGTGGTTCACGCCTGTAATCCCAATGCTTTAGCAGTGGATCACTTGAAAACAGGAGTTCAAGACCACGCTATGCAATGAAACAAGACATTGTCTCTACAAAAAAAATTTAAAAATTAGCTGGGTACGGTAGCATGCTCCTATCATCTCAGCTACTCAGGAGGCTGAGGTGGGAAGATCCCTTGAGCCTAGCAGGTTAAGGTTACAGTGAACAAAACCCTGTCTCTAAAAAACAAACAACATCAAAGGTTACAGCCTAACTTTACTTTCACCTACAGTTCTTCCTCAAATAAATCTTAAATCTCTTCAAGAGGGAAAAAAATTAGGCATATGATCTATTCCATTCTTAATCTGTCCCCTCAAAGCAGCTGGTTACTTACACATATCCACCCAGGAATAAACAGAACAGGTTTTAGTCCATAAACATATGACTCAACATTTCACCCACACATCCATATTCCACTAGAAGTACCTCTCTCTGTTTTGGGGGTTTCATCCCATCTGTTTTTACGAGCACTGGAAGTTGCGCCTCCATGGCCTGGTGTGGCATGGCCTGGTGTATCGCCTCGTCCAGGAGTAGCAGCTCCTGCTGGTGTGTGGCTAGGTGTAGGATCCCATATTTTTGAGCCTGGCGTTGCTCCAGGAGTCTCACTTCCCTTTGCACGACCTGGTGTCTCATCCCATCTTAAGGAAGGAGTATGCCCCGGGGTCTTAAAAAAAGCAAAAACTTTTATTTCACATACCCACATAGGAATAATTAGAAAATTTCCATAAAACAAAAAACTTGAAACAAAAAATGTTTTAGTTCTATGCACTGTAAGTCAGAGGACACTAACTTTACTTACAGGAAAAGATACTTACTTTCTAGCAAATGTTTATGATCAAAAACAATGTAAAGCTTCAATCTGAAGCACTGACAAAAGTCCCAGCTTAAAAAATATATATTCTGGCCGGGCGCGATGGCTCAAGCCTGTAATCCCAGCACTTTGGGAGGCCGAGGCGGGTGGATCACAAGGTCGAGAGATCGAGACCAACCTGGTCAACATGGTGAAACCCCGTCTCTACTAAAAATACAAAAAATTAGCTGGGCATGGTGGCGCATGCCTATAATCCCAGCTACTCAGGAGGCTGAGGCAGGAGAATTGCCTGAACCCAGGAGGCGGAGGTTGCGGTGAGCCGAGATCGTGCCATTGCACTCCAGCCTGGGTAACAAGAGTGAAACTCCGTCTCAAAAAAAAAAAATATATATATATATATATATATATATATATATATATTCTGGGTATGAATCTTTGATATGCCATTAATAGCTCTGTGACTTTAGGGAAAATCACTGAGATTTCTCTACCTAGATCTGTAATCCAAGGCTTTCAACTCTAATTACATTAGTTTCAACATGGGGCTTAGAAACACGTTATTTAGGAGAGAAGGAATTCATGTGTTGTAAGAAAATACCACTGTTGAGGTTTTGTTAAATTGTGTGTGTTTAATTAATATTAATGCTTTAGATCACCTACATAATTTTTTCTTTTAGACAGAGTCTTACTCTGTCACCCAGGCTGGAGTCCAGTGGCGTGATCTCGGCTCACTGCAACCTCTCTGCCTCCCGGGTTCAAGCAATTCTACTGCCTCAGCCTCCCAAGTGGGTAGGATTACCGGTGTGTGCCACCACGCCACACCAATTTTTATATTTTTAGTAGAGACGGGGTTTCACCACGTTGCTCAGGCTGGTCTCAAACTCCTGACCCCATGATCCACCCATCTCAGCATCCCAAAGTGCTGGGATATCAGGTATGAGCCACTGCGCCTTGACGAATCTCTTTAGTTTTTATAAAAAAGATATCGCCGGGTGCTGTGGCTCAGGCCTGCAATCCCAGCACTTTGGGAGGCTAAGGCAGGCGGATCACAAGGTCAAGAGATAGAGACCATCCTGGCCAACATAGTGAAACCTCATCTCTACTAAAATACAAAAAAATGAGCTGGGTATGGTGGCGCACGCCTGTGGTCCCAGGTACTCAGGAGGCTGAGGCAGGAGAACTGCTTGAAGTCAGGAGGCGAAGGTTGCAGTGAGCCAAGATTGCACCACTGCACTCCAGCCTGGTGCCTGGCGACAGAGTGAGACTCTGTCAAAAAAAAAAAAAAAAGATATCTAACAGCATTATCAGCTCTCATGTGGACACGGTGGCTCACGCCTGTAATCCCAGGCATGGTGGTGGGCACCTGTAATCCCAGCTGCTCAGGAGCCTGAAGCAGGAGAATTGCTTGAACCTGGGAAGATGAGGTTGCAATGAGCAGAGATCCCACCATCACACTCTAGACTAGGTGACAGAGTGAGACTCAAAAAAAAAAAAGAAAGAAAGAAAGAAAGATATCAGCTATTATGTCTAGTTACCTGCATACAGTTAAACAATTACCAGGAGGACAAGCTTCTTTCTCTTTCTGAAACTTAGTACTGAATGTCATCCATAGAATTAAATTTAGTAGTTACCTGGCTGAGCACAGTGGCTCATATCTGTAATCCCAGCACTTTGGGAGGCCAAGGTGGGGGAACCACTTAAGGTCAGGGATTCAAGACCAGCCTGGCCAACATGGTGAAACCCTGTCTCTACTAAAAATACAAAAATTAGCTGGGCATGGTGGCACATGCCTATAATCCCAGCTACTCGAGAGGCTGAGGCACAAGAGGCACTTGAGTCTTGGAGGTGGAGGTTGTAGTGAGCTGAGATTGCACTGCACTCCAGCCACCCATGGGTGACAGAGCAAGACTCTATCTCAAAAATTAAAAAGTTAATTTTATTATTTATCGTAAATAATAAAATAATAGTTTTACTTACATTGAGCAGAACCAAATCCCTCCTACATATTACCAAGCAAATGAGAAGTTCTCATCTTAAACTAAATTGTTTAGAAATTACATAGGTTTTGTATATCCCAATTCTGGGTTTGGGGAAATACTGCATGATCTGATAGGTTTTTTTTTGATCTGTAAGTTAAATCTACAGCAGTCTAGGCTAGAGCTAATAGTGATTTAGACTAGGATGGCAGAGGCAGAGATCATGAAAAGTGACTAGATCCTCAGTATATTTAAAGGTGGCACCAAGAAAACATACATGGGGTAAGAGAATAAGGAGTATGAGTCCCTAAATATTTTTTTGTTATTGCTGTTTTTGTTTTTGAGACACAGTCTTGTTCTGTCGCCTAGGCTGGAGTGCAGTGGCACAATCTTGGCTCACTGCAATCTCTCCACCTCCTGGGTTCAAGCAATTCTCCTGCCTCAGCCTCCTGAGCAGCTGGATTACAGGTGCCCACTACCAGGCCCAATTAATTTTTGTATTTTTACTAGAGGCAGGTTTTGCCATGTTGGCCAGGCTGGTCTCAAACTCCTGACCTCAAATGATCCACCCACCTTGGCCTCCCAAAGCACTGGGATTACATGCGTGAGCCACTACACCTGGCCCTAAATATTTTGCTTGAGCCAAACAGAAACGGGAAAGAACGGGGAGCAGGATAGAGAAGAAATGTACATGAAGAAAATCAGTAATTTTCTTTTAGAAATACTGATTTTGAAATGCCCATTGAACAGTGAAATATGTCAGGCTGGACAAATACACAAGTCTGAGGAACAGAAGCAGAGGACAGATTTATAAGTTTGGGAGCTGTCATATACAAATGGTATATAAAGACAAGAGAGATCCTAGGGAGCAAGCACAGATGGAAAAGAAACCAAAAGACTGAGCACTACTAGAACGCCCCAAAGTTCAGAGTTAAGAAGAATGAGGATCCAGCAAACAAGACTAAGGAGTAGGAGCCAGTGAGAGAATTTGAGGGGAACCAAGAAAGACTAAAACCCAGAGACTGAGAGAGAAAAGGGTATGAAGAAATGTCAAATGTTCTTGATATGCTAAGTAATATGAGAAATAAAAATACACATTTTCAATTTATCAATTAGGGGTCAAGTGACCTTGACAAGAGATTTTAGGTGAAGTCTCATGGACAAAAGACTAGAACTGCGTAAGCAGAGAAAGCAAGTACAAACAACTCATTCAAAGCACTTTGTGGCTCATGCCTGTAATCCCAGAACTTTGCAAGGCTGAAGCAGACAGACTGCTTGAGCCCAGGAGTTTGAGACCAGCCTGGACAACATGGTGAGACCTGTTTCTACAAAAAATAAAAAAAATAGCCAGGCATGGTGGTATACATCTATAGTCCCTAGTCCCATCTACTTGCGGGGTTGAGGTGGGAGGATCATTTGAGCCCAGGAGGTGGAGGCTGCAGTGAGCTGTGATTGTGCCCCTGCACTCCAGCCTTGGCAACAAATGAGACCTTACCCCCCCTTCCCATAAAAAAACAAAGAACAAAGCATTTTGCTCTAAAAAAGAGATCGAAATAGGGTGGTAGCCGAATGAGGATGTGAATGAACGTTAAGAGATGCTTTCTGCAGGTTTTTTGTTGCGGTTGTTAATACAAAGCATGGTGAAACATGTTTGCTGCTAATGATAATCTAGTATGGAGAAAAAAATTAATGGTACATGATGAGAGTCTCCAAAAGGGGAAGGGAAATGATGCATAAGCAGAAGAGTAGCTTTATCTTATCTTATTTTATAGACAAAGTCTCACTCTATTGCCCAAGCTGGAGTTTATTTTTGAGATGAAGTCTCACTCTGTTGCCCAAACTGGTGTACAGTGGCGCAATCTCGGCTCACTGCAACCTCCAACTCCTGAGTTCAAGCAATTCTCCTGCCTCAGCATCCCGAGTAGCTGGGACTAAAGGCACGTGCCGCCATGCCTGGCTAATTTTTGTATTTTTAGTAGACATGGGGTTTCACTGTGCTGGCCAGGTTGGTCTTGAATTCCTGACCTCATGATAAGCCTACCTTGGCCTCCCAAAGTGCTAGGACTACAGGTGTGAGCCACCACACCCAACCGCTTTATTTTTCTAACAATGATTAAATATTTTCAACTGCTTTCTAAAAAACTCAATTTTAAAGGCCTTTCTATTCAGGTTAAGGACAAATACAATAAAGGAACATATTATAGTTTAACATAATTAGTTGCTTTTATGCAGCACTTGTATCTTTTAGTCTGTAAGTATACTACTAAACGATAGAGAACAACTAATATAACCATTTCTACAGAACTAGGAAATAAATTTCTAAGAAAGATTTTACAGGATTTTTACACTGTTTTGTTTTTTTGAGACAGGGCCTTACTCGGTCACCAGGCTAGAATGCAGTGGCACAATCACAGCTCACTGTGACCTCCATCTCCTGGAATCAAGGGATCCTCCTGCCTCAGCCCCCACCAGCCCCCTTACCCCAGTAGCTGAGACTATAGGCATGTGCCTCTATGCCCAGCTACGTTTTTTTTTTTTTTTCTTTTTTTGGTAGAGACAGGGTCTCCCTCTGTTGCCCAAGCTGGTCTCAAACTCCTTAAACTCAACCAATTCTCCCACCTGGGCCCCGAAAGTGCTGGGATTATATGCATGAGCCAATTCATTCAGCTTCCAACAAAATGTTTTTAAAAAGAAAAAGAAAGGGCTGGGCGCGGTGGCTCACGCCTGTAGTCCCAGGACTTTGGGAGGCCAAGGCGGGTGGATCATGAGGTCAAGAGATCGAGACCATCCTGGTCAACATGGTGAAACCCCGTCTCTACTAAAAATACAAAAAAATTAGCTGGGCATGGTGGCATGTGCCTGTAGTCCCAGCTACAGGAGGCTGAGGCAGGAGAATTGCCTGAACCCAGGAGGCGAAGGTTGCGGTGAGCCAAGATCGCGCCATTGCACTCCAGCCTGGGTAACAAGAGTGAAACTCCGTCTCAAAGAAAAAAAAAAATAGAAAAAGAAAGTAGGAGAGGAGGCTGACCAAAGGAATGGGGTAGCACTGACTATTTGCTGCCTGTAGTGAGAGGCTTAAGTTATCTATCTAGAAAATAAGGAACACCACTATATGATATTCAACCTCCACAATGTAACATACCTACAGGTCTATATTTAATATTCTAAAAAGAACTTTCCTTACTCCATGATATGAGTAAGCAAATTGCACACCCCTCAAAATTCATATGTTGATGTCCTAACCCTCAGTGTGACTGTATTTGGAGACTGGGCCTTAGGGAGGTAAATTAAGGTCAAATGAGGTCATAAGGGTGGGACGCTAATCTAACAAGAATGATGTCCTTATAGGAAGGGAAGGGACAACAGAGCTTGCTGGCAGGGAGAAAGGCCATGTGAGGACACAGCAAGAAAGCCCTCACCGAACACCAACCCTCTTTGCACTTTGATCTTGGATTTCAAGCCTCCAGAACTGTGAAAATATCAGTCTGCTGTTTAAGGAACCCAGTCTGTGGTATCTTGTTACGACAACCCAAGCCGACGAATACAGTCCATAAGAGAACAAAATTTTTAAACAGTAATAACATAAAACAAAAAGAAATTACCTCTGCCTGATCCCAACTTGATAGCTTTTTGGGAGTGGCACCAGGAGTCTGATCAGCTGTTTGATCCCAACGCCTTTTTCGTTTTGACGGAGGCTGGGATGCTGCCGCTCCATTGACGACTTTTAGTTCTCCAGCTTTAGCTTTTTCTGCTAGCTGTTGCCTAATTTCTCGCTGAAAAAAAAAAAAAAAAAACACAGTATTTACCTTTAAAATGTTTTGAATATTTTTCTATCATTACCACAATCATTTCCACTTAACATGCTATTTTATGCTTTGCTGGTTCTCCTTTCTATGCTAGCTGGTTCCACAGTCTGTTTTAAATTTCTTTATTTCATTTTACATAATGCTTGTCTTTCTAAACAAAACACGAGCAAGTTCAGAATTTATAACATAGCACACTGTAGTTTATATATTGTAGGTGAAGTAAAATCTTCCGTCAACAACGGAGAACCAAAATGCTTCAACTGAAAAATAGTTTTCTTTAAAACTCATATAAATAGCAATTAAGACTATGCAACACAATAGAAAAATGGTAAAATATAAAAATTGTTTTATTTATACTGACAAATTATGTAAATATAGTGTGTAATTTAGTGATAACAGATGTATTTATACTGTTAATATGGGGTTTTATTATCCTATTTAATTCACTCAACATACAAAACCTATTATATATTCATAATAGTAATGGAGGAGGCCAGGCATGGTGGCTCACACCTATACACCCAGCACTTTCGGACGCCAAGGTGGGCAGATCATCCAAGGTTAGGAATTCAAGACCAGCCTGGCCAATACAGTGAAACCCCACCTCTACTAAAAAAAAAAAAAAAAAAAAAAAATTAGCCGGGCAAGGTGGCACACACCTATAATCCCAGCTACTTTGGGAGGCTGAGGCAGAAGCACTTAGACCTAGGAGGTAGAGGTTGCAGTGAGCTGAAATCACATCACTGCACTTCAGCCTGGGTGACAGAGCAATTCTCTGCCTCAAAAAAAAAAAAAAAAAAAAAAGAAGACTGCTAAAGACAAAATGGTATATTCTCCATAGGCCAAAAGGATTTATTCGAAATTCTCCACTTACATCCAAACTGAAACTTAAAGAATCTCACATTGACTTTTCCCTAACATACTGGGTTCAGATACACACCATCAACCTTCTCCCTACAGAAACATTCCCCATAATGGCCAGGAACAGTGGCTCACACCTGTAATCCCAGAACTTTGAGAGGCCAAGGCAGGCGGATCACCTAAGGTCAGGAGTTCGAGACCAGCCTGGCCAACATGGTAAAACTCCATCTCTATTAAAAATATAAAAATTAGCTAGGCATGGTGACGCACACTTGTATTCACAGTCACTCGGGAGGTTGAGGTGGAAGGATAACTTGAACCCAGGAGGCGGAGACTGCAGTGAGCGGAGATCACACCACTGCACTCCAGCCTGGGTGACAAACTAAGACTCTGTCTCAAAATAAAATAGGAAAATTTCCTGTAAAATTCATAGATACATATATGGCCAAGGGACCCAGACTAAAAAAGGATATCAAAATGAAAAGTTTTATTTGGAAGGTGGTATAATTTGGGGGTAAGATTCTTTCTCAGTTAATTTTTATTAATACTATTAAAATAATTGTGCAGCAAATAGCAAAAAAGAAATGTAACAGTCTCTCAATCTTAACTTTATTTACATTCTTTCACAACCATTAAAACAGGACACAGGTTTACATACTTCTTCTTTAGTCAAGTGCTGTTCTCGCATTACATCCATGTAAGTCCTAGCATTCATTTTAGGATCAGGGGTCTTCCCTCCTGCAGAAAAGAACAGCAACAGGAAAAGAGTACAATAAATAAAAGATAATCAGGTTCAACTGATTTATCTGCCCTGCTCTAATTTTATGTTATTCCATAATCATTTAAATTATTTTTTGATGGAAAACTTTAATAATTATACATCTTACTTTTTATTGAGTTTGCTGATCAATTTAACCTGTTTGAACACAAACATCTACAGCAGTTTAAAACAAATATTTTAATGCATATAAAAACAAAATGACAACACAGTTTAGTCTTCAGAAGTGATGGGTTCCTGGGTTGCTAATCCGGAATACGTACACTTTCGTGCCTTTGTCTCCATCAGCAGTTCTGACTTCAAGCAGCAGAATAGAAGCCTAGAAAATTATCTCTTTACATTAGTAACACTTTGGAAAGATATTTATATTCAAAACATTACCTGTTGCAAGCTGTTAAAATCCTGACTACAAATAACTATGACTAGATAAGTTCTTCATATAGTGTTCTAAAACAATTATAGTTTAGAAATTCTGATTTTAAAAATATACCTATAATCTTATTCTGATGTCACGTTACTAAAAAGGGCTTCATGCTTTTAAGTTTTTTTGACCCAGAAAGCATATTTTTATTTCTTAGAAATCATAAATTAAAACTGGAAACATATTACTTGAAATATATTACATCTACCAGTTATTATGATGCACACAGAAGCAATATGGTGTACAAAGAGATGTGTCAGTCTCTCGGTTAAAGTTTCAGTATTTGCTTTTCAAACTTCAATATCTTACAGAAGCCCAAACAGTATATAACAAGATTCACAGAGGCACACTATGCATTAGAAATGTGGTAACTAGCTATACAAGTAGTATAGCATAACAATTTAGGAAAAACTAATAAAATTCTAAGACATTTCCTATGCTGAAGATCATGCCCAATTGGTAGTGTCATTCTTTCTGACACTAGCTCTGATAAGACTTCCTTTGGAATACTTTTTCACCATAATCTAGAGAGGATGTGTTGAACTGCACCCTTAAGAATGCAGACAGGACTGGCATATAGCAGTACTGCTGTAGGAAAGAAATTAAGGACAGTTAGTATGGGCCTGTGAATTCTGGCATACATGTTTAAATCAATTACAATTATGCAAGTAAAAAAAGAATATCCCTACTAATTCATGCAGGCTGAAAGTCTAGTATGTAAACCTGCAGCAGAATCTAATTTTAAGAAACAGGCACCTAATTCTGATTGTGAAACTCACTCACCTGAGGAAAGCTTCCATCAGGCTCACTATGCCCCTTGTGCTGACTTGCACACTAAAATTAGCAAAACAGACTCCAACTATTAAAAATATCAAAATCTTTGTATACATACTTTTGTTTTAACTTTAAGTATGCTTAGAGCAAAGTAGGTGCCTTTACTAAGCTATATTTAGAGTACTACAGGGGGAGCTCTAGTGTGAGAAACAGTTTCTCAAGGGTAACAATCCTAAAAATCTAGGATTTGGAATGAAAACTTTCAACAATTTGAAAGTATTTTGAGCAGAAAAACACATTTGTTCCAAGTATAGAAAGCGTACCCAAAACAAAAGTAAAAGTAAAACCTTTAACCCTTTGCGTTTCTATGGCATTGGCTCATTTTTTTCTTGTCCTTCTACCTGGAAAGAAAACTTGCATTATAAAGATGAAGAATATGGCATCTGTGACTTCAACCAAATCTATACAAATCTATATTAAGGGGGATTTTTAAAAAGAAAAGCAAATTCAGAAGCATGCCAAAAAAAATCAAAGGGCTAAAGACAACTTAATACAAATAAATTTCTGAATACTTATAGAAAAGTGGGAAAGAATTACCATCTGCAAAAGGATCAAGACGCTCTGGGGAAATTATCATGGTCCGCCTATGCTTTTTGTATTCATCTTCTCGGTCTGCAATCTTTGGAGGTCGGTGCTCAGCAAATGGATCATACTGAAAAGAAGTATGTCTCACTTAATATCCACTTTATTAAGAAAACAAAGCAGTATCATAAACAAAAATCAGAACACTGTAAAGCACAAATGTTTAATACATGCCTACTAATATTCTGTATCGTTTCACAGATAAATGTTAATATAAAAAAATAAGGCATATGGAAACAAGGCAATAACACATCCACATTTCCATAGTTCAATGCTTCATTAAATGATTACAGCCAGGTGTGGTGACCTGTGTATTTAATCTCAACCACTTGGGAGGCTCAGACAGGAGGAATGCTTGAGCCCAGGAGTTTGGGATCAGCCTGAGCAAGATAGCAAGACCTTGTGTCAAAAAAAAAAAAAAGATTACACCTGTACAAAATAAATTATTATTTCTAATTCTCCTCAAAACATCCTAAAATTCATGGGTTTCCACAGGAACTCAGACATTCACTTTTCTTTAGCTGAAAATGCTTTTAAAATGAAAGGTCACCTGTTCTGTTGACTGTGGTATATCATTAAGCAATGCCACCGGGGCATGATATCCTGGCTTCTTCTGACCAAGCAAACTTGTAGATGATGAATAGTCATCGTCATCCTGCAATGAAAATCCCCCAAAAGCCCACAAACGAAATGTTAGAACTTACAAATTAGAAAGAATATGCAAAGATTCAGTATGAAATCAAAAGATCTATTGACAGTGTGATATGTTAAGCCCTCCTTCATAAAACTTACAAACACTACTATTAGGACTTCTTGCACATCAAAAACCTATTAAAGAAACTAAATTCAGTTATCTTTGCTTTCAAAATGATTAAGCAAGGAAGATTTTCTACAAGTCAATTAAGATAAAGTAAGTATGGACTAGAAAAACCTGAGCATTTGATTTTCTCACAGAAAACAAAATGTTTTTTCAATTTGATAATCACAGCTTATTTTAGAACTTTCTAGTCTTTTTAACTCATTTTTTTAAACATGATTTAACAACCACAGAAACAAGTATTTAATTTTAAATATACTTGTCCCTAGCAGTGTGTTTAAACAAAACAATATTACACTGTTACTTTTCTAGTATAAAAAGTACAACTGTTTGGGAGGCCAAGTTGGGAGTCTAAGAGTTTTGAGACTAGCCTAGGCAAAAGACACCAGGTAGTTCACATCTATAATCCCAACACTTTGAGAGGCTGAGGCGGGACACTGCTTGAGCCCAAGAGTTCAAGACCAACCTGGGAAACATGGTGAAACCCTGTCTCTACCAAAAAAATACAAAAATTAGCCAGGCATGGTAGTGTGCATATGTAGTGCCAGCTACTCAGGAGGCTGAGGTGGGAGGATAGTTTGAACCCAGGAAGCAAAGGCTGCAGTGAGCCATGATCTGGCCACTGCCTTCAGCCTGGGCAACAGAGCAAGACTTTGTCTCCCAGAAAACAAACAAAAACCACACATATACACACAGTGAGATTTAATCTCTATTGTAATAAAAATAAACAAATAAAAAGTGCCGGCAGTCCACAGTGGCTCACGGCTGTAATCCCAGCACTTTGGGAGGCCAAGGCAGGTAGATCACAAGGTCAAGAGATTGAGACCATCCTGGCCAACACGGTGAAACCCAGTCTCTACTAAAAATACAAAATTAGCCAGGTGTGGTAGCAGGTGCCTGTAGTCCCAGCTACTCAAGAGGCTGAGGCAGGAGAATTGATGGAACCCAGAATGTGGAGGTTGCATTGAGCCGGGATCGTACCACTGCACTCCAGTCTGGTGAGAGAGTGAGACTCCGTTACCAAAAAAAAAAAGTGCAACACTAGGTAATTCTCAAGATCTTAACACCTTTATTTAAAAATAAAATGACGAGACCCCCAAATGAAATACTAACTAGTCCATGCCTGGTTTCTAGAAATTTCACCTTTTGGGACTTTTAAATTTCTCTCCAGAAAAAAAAAGAGAAAGAGAGAGCCAACTGTAAAATGTGACTCGAATTTCTTAAAAATAACCAGTTTGATAATCCATATCACTTACAGGTACCTGTAACTGAATCACCAAATTTGAACTTTGGAATGGTCTGATAAAATATAAGCTACCTGGAATACAGAAAAAAATTCTTTGAGGGACAGATTTCAAAATGAAAGGCAGTCCTCCTCCATAGTAACTGAAACAGACACAAAAAGCTCATCAACATCAGTACTAAGAAAAATTCCAGGCCAGGTGCAGTGTCTCAAGCCTGTAATCCCAGCACTTTGGGAGGCCAAGGAGGGCAGATCACCTGAGGCCAGGAGTTCAAGACCAGCCTGGCCAACATGGCAAAACCCCATCTCTGCTAAAAATACAAAAATTAGCTGGCATGGTGGCAGGCTGGTAATCCCAGCTACTTGGGAGGCTGAGGCAGGAGAATCGCTTGAACCCAGGAGGCAGAGGTTGCAGTGAGTGGAGACCACACCAACGTACTCCAGGCTGAGCAAGACTGTGTCTCAAAAAAGAAAAGAAAAGAAAAATTCTATTCACATTAAGATACCAACAGAAGAAAAACAGTATCAAGTACAAGTCAGTAATCAAGTCACAAGGACAGATGGCTATTTACAATCAAGTCACTTCTCACACAAGCTACTCTAGACATTGTGGTAAGTAATGGTAGGGATTTACTTTACAACTGTTTACTTCATACCGGTAATGGTTGGCAGGTGCTTTGCTGGATAAACAAACTAGTCTTTACATAAATTCTCAGAACAAAGCATTTCCAGTGAAGTTTCAGAGCCTTAGAGAGGATCTTCCAGTAGTTTTATCCTCTAAAAGATCTCAAGAATGTCTCTCCTAAGCCAGATGGCTGAAACAAAAAGTTACTCATATTTCTTGCTCTCTCAAAAAATAATTGTCTCTTGTACACAATTTGTAACTTACATCTTCAAGTTCTGTTGCAGCAATTGATGTCACGTATCCAGCAAATCTGCTGTCACTTCCACCATAAATTTCTTGGTCATAATAACCTGTAGAATCAAGGCCCACTCCTTGAGCTTCATCAAGAGCTGCCTTCTTGCCTTGAATTTCTCGAATCTGTGCTTCAATATCTATAAAAAGATAATACAGACTTTCTTTATTTCACTTTCCAAACAATTCCCAACATCATGCATTTCTTTACTAGGTAATTATCAAAATACTCAGAAAATGTACAGTAATTACACCATTTAAGGGAACAGTAACCACAACAGCATAAGCATGCTCTAGAAATTAAACCATGACAGGCTGGGTGCAGTGGCTCATGCCTGCAACCCCAGCACTTTGGGAGTCAGAGGTAGGTGTACCACTTGAGGTCAGGAGCTCAAGATCAGCCTGGCCAACATATAGTGAAACCCCGGCTCTATTAAAAAATACAAAAATTAGCTGGGCATGGTGGCACATGCCTGTAGTCCCAGCTACTTGGGAAGCTGAGGCAGGAGAATCACTTGAACCTCAGACACAGAGGGTGTAGGAGCCTAGATCCCGCCACTGTGCTACAGCCTGGCGACAGGCCAAGACTCTGTCGCTCAAAAAAAAAGAAACCGTGATAAAATATCATCTAACATATAACCCAGCTTCAAAAAAAAATTTCCCCAGTTGCCCTAATAATAGCATTTATAGATGTTCTTATTTAACCCATAATCCAACCAAGCACCATACACTGCATTTAGTTGTCACTTTCTTTGTTCTCTAAATACAGACTAGCCTTCCATTTTGTAGTCTTTCCTGACACCAGGTTACTTCTGCAAAGTAACGTTTTAATAATCTGAATAGGACTGTGTGCAGTGGCTCACGACTGTAATCCCAGCACTTTGGGAGGCCAAGGCAGGTGGATCACGAGGTCAGGAGTTAAAGAGATCAGCCTGTCCAATATGGTGAAACCCCATCTCTACTAAAAAAAATACAAAAATTTTGCCAGGTGTGGTGGCATGTGCCTATAGTCCCAGCTACTCAGGAGTCTGAGGCAGGAGAAATGCTTGAACCTGGAAGGCAGAGGTGGCAGTGAGCCAAGATCATGCCACTGCACTTCAGCCTGGTTATGGAGAGCAAAACTCGATCTCAAATAAATAAATAAAAATAAAAATAAGCTGAGATTGCACCAGTGCACTTCAGCCTGGGCCACAGAGTAAGACTCTGTCTCAGAGTAATAATAATAATCTGAATAATACGAAGATATATAAAGAAATAGTTTCTACTGCAAAATATTTCTATGGCCTAACAAAAATAGTTGTTTCAATTCTTGCCAGGCCATGCTGAGTTAAGCCCTTGGACATCAGGCACTTTTAAAAAGCTAACTTGCTGGATGGGTGAGGTGGCTCATGCCTGTAATCCCAGCATTCTGGGAGGCCAAGGTGGGTAGATCGCCTGAGGTCAGGTGTTTGAGACCAGTCTGGTCTTCATGGTAAAACGTCCCTCTACTAAAAATACAAAATTAGCCAGGTGTAGTGACACCCACCTATAGTGCCAGCTACTCAGGAGGCTGAGGCAGGAGAACTGCTTGAACCCAGGAGGCAGAGGTTGCAGTGAGCCAAGATCACGCCACTGCACTTCAGCCTGGGCATGGAAAGCAAAACTCCATCTCAAATAAATAAACAAATAAATAAAAATAATGCTGGGCACAGTGGCTAACACCTCTAATCCCAGCACTTTGGGAGGCCGAGGCAGGCAGATC